GGTAACGAGAATTTTTAATCAAAAATTGTTAGATTCTTAAGGGTCGATAGAGTATAAGATATGAACGGTACTTTGTGTGTGACATGTCATATGAATTTTTAATTTTCACCTTGTACCAGCAAGGTTAAAATAATATAGGACTGTATTCGCATACTATATATATATCTGATATTTATACAAAAAAGCTAACAATATAGCGATAAAATCTAACACCAAACCAAATAATTGCTAGCTCAATCAATAAGATAAAATTCCAAGAGGCAAAAAGGCACTTCTTAAATAATAATAGTAGTATCATCATCGCGCGTTGTAAATTACCATATATCACATTCTTTGAATCGAGAACTTGATCAAGATTTTGCAACTTGTTCTTGTAGTTGCGGTGAATGTACATTCATTGGTGGTAATTGTTGTTGTTGATGATTCGGGGAATTAGCGTGCGGCGTGTTATTTGACGAAGGTGATGAAGTGGCTGATGATTGTTGTTGTTGTTGCTGCTGCTGTTGTTGATTTTGACTATTACTGTTGCCTGTGCTACTAATACTATTATTGGTATGTTGACTTTGTGATGATGATGTCGATGTTTGTGTTGATGGTGATGCGGATAATGGTTGTGGTGGTGGTGGTTGATTATTTTGTTGTCCAACAGGTGTACTAGCACTCCGTGATTTCAGTACTTTCATGTATTTCTTTGCTGGATTTTCAGCATTCTGACGTACTTTGTTACGTAATGCTTCCATCACATATTCATGATTGACTTCATCAGTAAGTTTATTACGCTTGTTATTACTATTAGGTGTTGAGCTACTATTGCTGTTGCTGGGAGCAGTGCTGGTTGGACTTTGAGTGTACGAGTACTGATGATGATGATGAAGGTGATGATGATGTGAGGACGAAGATGAAGAGGATGATGAATGAGTTGCTGAAGATGGCGGCGGTGGTTGTTCTTGCATGCTGGTTGGAGTTTGAGTAAATGCCTGATGCGGATTATTATGAGATGACGGTGATAGTATCGAAAAAGGAGGAGGAGGTATTGGAGGTATTGAAAGTGTTAACGTTGGTCGTTGATTATTATTGTTACTATTGTTGCTATTGTTATGATAGCTGTGATTATGT